AAGAGTTTTGTATAATTATTTTAATGGTCCAACAAAATTATTTTCAGATCTGTATCTAGTTAAATTTTTAGATTCTTCAGCAAAACCATTCTTTCTGTGTGTCTGGTAAATACAATTTCTTCATTAATAACTCATTAACTTGGAGAGATCCCATTTACATCTCGAGGTCATGAAATTAAAACTACAGACTTGTTTTAAATGATGAGATCTCGTCGGTGCAAAACTGAAATTTCGATAATCAAGCAACATGATCTTGTTTTTTATCAGTTAATTAACCAAAAGTAATTATTAATACCAAGTAGTTTTACGCTCATAAACGCTAATTTTTTATTGATAATACTTTCAATATTATGATTCAATTTCGACCAAAAAAATCTTAATTATTATATTTCATAAATTCTGATTTATATTTTTCTTTTCTCTCTTCCTATCATTTTTCTTCGCTAAAGAAACCGTCTAATTTCTCATTTTCGTCCATCGAGACAAATATTTAAATTTATCAATATTTTTCCAAATTTATATCAGACGATAAAAAAACATTGAAATAAAATACATCAGTACACAGTAGAATTTGATACTGCATTCATGTTAACAGCCGGAAAACCGGTGCGCCAGTTGTCGCGAAATCGGATTCCGATTACGGAGCGATCGAAATGTTACTAATCCAAAGCCGATTACAGTCTATGGAATTCTTGCGTCAATATTCCGACGAATGAAGATGACGGTTGCACATTGGAATGACGGACACCTGTGAATAGCTCGATGTAGAATGACGCCATTAATGTTGGATTTCAATCCTCATCCCGATATATCATTCGAGATTGGACAGAATTAACGGCGATATTAGGACCATAATTCTTCTAATTTTAATAACGGATAAATCAGATACTCAATTGAAAATCTCAATTATTGAAATTTTATGATAATTCACTGTAAGTAATTTAATTGTATTTTCTTATAGGGAAAGTCGAGGAAAATGAAGTCGACGCCTTTCTACAGCTCACGTCGGATAACGATTACTCTTTAAAGAAGCTCTTTGTAGCGGTTGTTTGTCTTTCGGCGCACCTCTACATGCAATACTATGCCGCAGGAAGAGAGAAATGAGAGACAAGATACGGCGAGGAGAAAGAACGGAGAGATTCTCGAATAATTCTAGATAACGGTTTTCGCGCCGCTAAACCGTCGTCGAATTACAAAGTAACCGACGCTCGTTAGCCGTATTAGCATTAATTAACGACGGACGGCCGAACGCACCTGTGTGCCGAGAATCGCGTATCTCGTCATGCTTTTGTCCGACACACCGCCTTATTGTTGAAAATACGCGATACCGACGTTGAGTAATTAGAAATCGCGACGACAGTTCGCGATCTGTCAGGCGGTCGTCGCGAGAATTCATCGGCACGCGATTCGCCGCGTGCAAACGTCGGAGATTCACCGTTTGAAAAGTGCCGTGCGAACGCGAGATGTTAAATTTTCTTCTATTGACGTCTACAGCCAATTAGACCCCCTTCATCGGTAATATCCTCGCGCCGATCGCGCTCTGCGGAATCCCAGCTTCGAAATTGTAGTAAAGTCTGGGAAACCTGTCCGCGCGGGAACACTTGCAGACACATCGTCGCTCAACTCGTAACTATTAACCGTCGATGTTACCTATCCGGTGTCTTACGAGAATATTATACGCGTGGTGTAATTTAGAATGCTAATTAATTCCCCGGCCATTATACGACTAAATTCGAGCGGTGTAACGTAAAAGCAGCGATTAGCCACCGGCAATTTTTTATTCATCGTGTCAAACACAGCTCGTGCATTATGCTTAATGTTATCAAACATCTTTGGATCCGAAGCAGAACAATTTTATGTTAGAAAGGAAAATGTATATGGATGTAAAGATAAACATAATTTATTTTTAAGAAATCGTGTTAGTTGATAATCCAAATTCTTTAATTAAAATTGATTAATTATTTTTAACTTCCATGTATTAAAATCGAACCATTTTTATAATTAATTTCAAGTAAACAATGTCCATATTAACGTGCACTTTGTAAATGATAAACTAAATTAAAATCAAATTTAACTTACGTTTTCTTTTAATTCCATTGTTTTAATTAAATTAATGACATATTAAAGAGCAATGGTGATCTGTAATATTCCTAATTATAAATAACTCAAGTTTTTCATATAATTTGACATGAATTTAACAGTGAATACAATTATTTATATTTTGACATATTTAATGGGATAACAAAAAATAACCAAAGCGGGACATCTGATCACATTAATTATGCTTGCAGACAGTTTTTACAGTTTTGTGTCAGGGATTAGTATGCGTGTTTAATGAAAAACACTTGTTCGTACGTAGAACCGTTCGAAGCCGTCGATATGTTGGCAGTGGGAACCGGGCCAAGATCATCGGTTGGTCGGCCCGTGACATCAATCTTTGCCACTGGCTGCGACGTACACGCACTCACGCACTCATGCATGTACGTGTACACATACGGTACGTATCCGTACACCGATACCTACGTGCACGTACACGACTGCTTATACGCCGTGCAAATTGCGCAGCAGCTCACCGATTGCACCATCTATGGCAACGGAATTGTCGCGACGTCACGGAATTGCGCGCAACTAGAGAAAGAAGGGCGACCCAGTCGGCGACGAGAAACTTTCCGCTCTAGTCGTAGAATTCTCAAAGCACGATTGTTGTGTGACGTTATGCGATTTCACCGCGACTTCAGTGTCTTCTGCGTCGCACTTAATATGTCACCGAACATTTCAGATTATTAGATGCAACGTCGTAATTCCACGTTATTAGACTCAATCGAGTGAAGAATTGCGACAAAAATTATTTTTTCATCTCTGGCCTAAAAACTAACTGTAAATTATCCATGAAAATCTTTTTATGAAACAAAGAATCTATGATAAATCAGTAAATTAATTAATTAATTTTATCCTTCAATCAAGATAATAAAAAACTAGGGAATTCATTTGGATGTTTTTATACGCCAGTGCAACGGTGAGAAAATGTGAATTATTGTAAACAAATGTTTTCTTTCTTTTTGAACATATCTTTTTTCTTTTTTAATAAATATTCTTTACGAATTCTTAAACATGCAATTTCATAAAAAATAAAGTGTTAATTAAAATTTCTATTTTTTAGAAATATTGTCATAAACATGTTTATATTTCGTTTAATATTTGTTTGGTTTCTATTTACTTTTTTCTAAAAAATTGTGAATAAATCCATAATGTTCTCAAAAAAAAAA